CTGCGTCACCCAGTGTTGTCGTCAGCGACTTTACCACTTAGCTGTTCGGGCTGCTATTGACCTCCTGTAGAACTGGCTTACATATATTGATTGGTCACGGGAGTGCAACCAATCAATACAAAGACAGAGACTGATTACTGAATCTTTGTTCATCGAATCAACATCCACCGAACACATGTACAAGAATGATGCAAGACCTATGCCAGAGATACGGAAGGTTTTACTACCAACAGAAACAAAGAATAAGAGGTGACGGGACTATAGAAATCACATTTTGAATGTAGTGTGATTACATTGATATGATTATGAGTAATAACAGTTTAGGCTCGAAACTTCATTATCAAGTAAGTAATACTGTATCATACTGTATGCTACATATCAAATGAAGAAAATGAATATGGAATTTGAAGTGGTCGAGTGAATAATTAGAAATATGCGAACTAGATTACCGTGATGAGTTACTTGAACTGGAGTTGAATAGCCACTGTCCTCCCTCAGAACGTCATACTTCACTGAATCATGAAGAAATCAGAAGAAAGAGATCAGCGTGTGACTGTATAGAAGACCACCTTTTTTTTCAGCAAGAGAAATATCATTTATATACATTTTTCATTAAAATACTTATTTTGGTTGGTTAGCAGCAGGATAAAAATTGTCCAGTAAGGTTTTACCTGACCACACAGTAACGTGAAATAAAGGTTGAAATCCAAAATTTCTTTCTTGGCAGCTTATGACTTAAGATGTTGGTTGATTTCCATTTAGGTCCTTTTTCCAATCAGAACCACACTCTACAAGAGTGCCCAAGATTTACACTTATATTAATAAACCATGGTGTAATTTCAAAGTTTAGCCCATGTTGAATACTACCATGAAATCAATAAATCCCCGTCAACCTTCAGATGGAATTAGTATCCAGTGTTCATTTGTGACTCGCCTCAAAATGGATTTTCCCAGGTTCTAAGGAAAAGATATGACCAAGTTGAGTGTGAGGAAGAGTACCAGCCGATGGCAGTGGATGACAGTCGCGTATTTTCTCTAATTGACAGAAGTAAGAATATACGGACCACAGCATCCCGACCCAACTGCTCAATGGTAGCTTGCTGGCTGCGAAGCTTGACGTTTCTGGATATACAGTCCTGAGGATGAAGCAACTACTTTGCTTTGCTTCAAAGCTTTAAAGTTGTTCCTCAACTGGTGTTAATCTACTTTGAAGATTGCTCAGAAGCTGAAACTTATCCATAGCCACGTAAACCGATCTTTATTTGATCACATAGTTTGTCTTTAAAATGAACAGTTGTAATTCAAACCTTACACTACTTTTTCATTCAGATAGTCAAGTAATCTTGGTTAGAAACTGCAGAGTAACGAGATGGGATATCTACATTGTTGTACTTTCAGTACTACGATATCACAAGGATCATAAGCATCCAGCAGTTCAAGTTGTCACAGCTGGCATCATCACTTAAAAATACAAGGTGACCAGATGAAAAAATATTATATACAGGAACAGGGAAAGAAAATATACAGAATCAGCAGTTTTACAAAGTCATAAGAAGAGGAGAACAAAGCGTTTGATAAGACAACGAAATATGCTATGATGATTAGAAGGAAGATTGTGTGTGTGTGTGTATGTGTATGTGTGCGGAGGCATCTACTCCTCAGCCATATTGTCTATAGTCTCCAAATAATCGAGTTCATCTGTCACACTGTCGCCAGGAGAACGGTAAACCTCACTATCCCCATCGCCCTTTATAGGTTGTTGTGATGATCACTGTGAAATGAAATAAAGTGGAATTCAGTAATATCACGCGCTTTTTCTCATTTAAGGACTGATTGGTTGATGTGCGTATATAATTCACCAACTATGTTTTTGTATTAAATATCGTCGAAAAATGACAAACAGAATTGATGAACCACCTTGACCAGGCCCACGATCAGTCAGTCAGTCAATCAATCAGTCAGTCAGCCATATGCATCAGAATGGAATGCAGAATGAGAAGAAGAAACATTCAAATTAATCAGTAATGACAAAATGATGTGGAAAGGTGTCTTGTTCTGTTTTCTTCACGCAGAGAAAAAGAATTCCATATTCATTGGAATGTGTACAAGGCGCCAGCCAAAAAAAGGAAACCTACTGACACAGTCATATTTACAGCATCTGATTCAATTTTTATTGAAGTGAATTTGATTTAGTTTTACTCCAAAAAATAATGCTGAAATCTTATAACTTTTTATTACACATAAAACATACTACTATCTAATATGAGTCATTGAGACTCACATGAACTAAGCTGCCTTTTAGAGAGACTATATGCTTATTTAATGCCAACTTAACTGATTGTGTGTGTGTGTGTGTGCACCAGATACTTGACATCGTAACAAATATTAGGAGTTCGTAGTTGAACAAAGCACGGAAGCATTGATCATTTCAACAACATAAGTCAGTAGTCGAAAATAGCATGAATCCTCACTCACTCACTCACTCTGCAACTCGCCTTCTAGTGATTTGTGAATTAGGTTTTTAGGATGTGTAGGGTTCGAAAATTGAATTATCTATGTGACTGTTTTTACCTCGCACTAAGATTTGGTAATAATAATATTAATAGTAATAATAATACTTATTATTATTATGGCTACATTCTGAAAGCTATTTTGGCAATATTCTACAGAATTTTCATCACGTCATACAGCATCAATTGAATGGAGACAGTGTACATGTACACCTAGCAAAATGAGATAAACAGAAATAACATTTATAATATAAGAATATCTACTCCATCTACAACTTTCTTGAAAATACATAGTCAGTTTAGGTAGGCAACCACATTAATAATTAGATTCACAACATATAAATAATAACAAACTGTGTGTTCACCAACTAGTTTGCTTCCAAAAACACTAGTTGATCAGTCAGTTAGTTCATTTCTAACACCTTCATCACACAGGAGATGAACTACATATGTAAGGTATTGTAGACTTTTTATCTTTTGTAGTACGTGCATACAGTCTTATGTACTTGTTCCTCATCTCTCCACATGACCGATGCACACAGAGTGCATTGAGTGAAGAGAATGTTGGTCATCTGATGAAATAACTCCAACCAGATGTTCATACGAGTTAATAAGTTTGTTTGTCCACAACAGTTTTAAGTAGAAGGTTATGGAGTACACGACTAGTTCTACTGACAATCTTCAAAGCTCTATACAATACAGCATAGTCGTTTTTCAGCAAGCCAAGAAAGAATATGGGGAGTCAGCAGATGAGAAAAGGCGAGATCTAGGAGTTTATAAAACACAAGAGTAGAGTTTGAGTAATACCAGATACTCTCAGCTTCATAGTGTAGGAAGTTAGATGGAAAATTCTTTTTGAAGTTATTGAGTGAGATGTGAGAAGACGAGGAAGTGTGTGAAGGGAAACACACATCGAGATAAATCACACTTGTAACATTCTCTAATCCTTAACTACCGATCGAAGAGGAATCATGAGAACTGAGCAGTTCACATAAGTTATGTTGATGTCTAGAAGTAAAGTTTGTGGTGTGAGATTTTGAAGAGTTAAGCAGAAGACGATTGATGGAGGATGATCATGTGAGGGTGGATGGGTAATGATTGAGTTGAGACCAGTCAAGTGAAGAGGAGATAGGTATGGAGACTGTTGGATGATGAGTGTATTTGATGAAATTGATACCAGGTGAAGGTGGTAGATGATGTAGAAAGAGGTAGAAGAGACTGGAGGAGATGAATGGTTGTTGGGGAACACGAGTGACAGTAAGGACTGAGGTGGAGCTCTTTCGTCTATAAAAAGTATTCTGTTTCCTATGAGAGGAATGGGAATGGATGTAGGTGATTATCTCCGGATCATTATGTTTCCTGGATAATTTGTTTAGGAAAAGAGGTGTTGGGACATAATGAAATGCCGAAGTATAGTCTAGAAAGGGACACCTGACATACTTAGCATTTCTGTCAAGACTATAAGCAATACCGTGATATAAGAGAGTTTTGGCATCCAGAGTGTTTCTTCTGCTTTTCTATGTAAATGGGTTAGGGTCTCCGAAAGCCTTCAGTGACGGTTCGAGGACAGGCATTAGTAGCTAGCTTTTCCGCTTTGGTGGCTTACTTCTACCTAACTTGTGAATCGTAAGACTGTAAACGTGTTTACAATATCTCTGTGTGTTAGACCACGTGGCATATAATGATGATGATGATGATGATGATGATGATGATGATGATGATGATGATGATGATGATGATGATGATGATGATGATGATGATGATGATGAAATTCTGCTGTAATAATCTCTAGTGCTTTATTTACATTACTGACTTTGTATCTGTCTTTCACTGTTTCAGCTTGATCGGCGTCGGAATCTGACTTATCAATGAATTCTTCAACGCATCTTAATTATTTAAATGTGTAATTTATTCTTTTTTTAAAATAATGAAGTTAATATATTTAAACAAAAATTCAATGTATTCAATGTTTAAACTTTGATTATTTTTGTTTATGGTGATCTAGAAGAATGTTGTACTTCATTGTAAAGTTCATGATCATATTGATCCAACTGTTTCTCATCTTACAAATAAAAATAAAGATAATTTATTTGAGAAAATTTTTGGTTTTGTGAGTTACGTATGAAGTTCATCGTATTCTTCTTTCTCGCCCTTATTCACAGTCTACAAACTTTGATAGCTAGATTTTCCTTCAATCCTTGGTGACCTACAATAAATACAGTGGACAACGCTGGTGTACTATTTTCCCATTCATAACCTTGAAATAGGTAGACCTTCGTTTAATGTACAGTCCAATGATCAATACTGTTGTTCATACATTCAGTGGATTATAATTTATTTCACAGTTCTCATTGTTAGGTCACTCAGTTATTCATTGGCATTGGCATTCCTACCCAGAGTGTCAAGTTGGCATACCTCACATCAGAGTAACAGGATAGAAGGCATTAAGATGAAAAGTAGGTGAATAAGGAAAGAGAAGGTAACGAAAATTCAAAGAAAATTATCAGTAATAAAGAAGCAAAGGAGAGGAAGTGAGAGAAGTGAATTATTCACATCACGTGTCTTGTAATTCTGTATTCTGTCCCTGATAGTTGAACATAATAGCACTACAATGCTATTAATACTACCATCACTGGTAGTAGTAGTAGTAGTAGTAGTAGTAGTAGTAGTAGTAGTAGTGCGAGTAGTAGTAGTAGTAGTAGTGCGAGTAGTAGTAGTAGTAGTAGTGTGAGTAGTAGTAGTGTGAGTAGTAGTAGTGTGAGTAGTAGTAGTGTGAGTAGTAGTAGTGTGAGTAGTAGTAGTGTGAGTAGTAGTAGTAGTAGTAGTAGTGTGAGTAGTAGTAGTAGTAGTGTGAGTAGTAGTAGTATGAGTAGTAGTAGTAGTAGTAGTAGTAGTAGTAGTAGTAGTAGTAGTAGTAGTAGTAGTAGTAGTGCTAACAATAACAATAAGAAGAAGAATAGTAGTCGCTCGGTTACGAACAATATGTATTATACATTATGGAATTGTCAGTATGTGATTTTTCAGCAAATTCACTACCAGAACATTATTTTCACCTGAAATGGTTATTGCAACATAATAATGTTAATGATAACAATATGCAGTGCAAAAATGTGTAATAGCCAGATGGTTTTCGGTTAGCGTCCTATCCATAATGAAGAATCAATAGGAATTGAAGCGTAAATTTGGTGGTGGCGTTTGATTTAGCCAGTACAAGGATCTGTAACTTAGGCTAAGTATCTGAGGCATGGAAATTGTGTTGTACTTTTGCTCACTGAAAAGTCCACTTCTATATAACGTGACATTTTTTTCTCTATTTTGTTATTAACTGGAGAAAATATGAGTGAAAAACATTTAAAAAATGTATAAGAGTACATGGTACCTTCAAAGGACACACTTAAATGAATAAAAAAATTGAAGGATATAAATTCGGTGGAAAATTTTAGTAGCCCAAGTTCTAATCAGGTTACTCTGGTTGGTTACATTTTCAGGATTAGATTCAAATTGTTTTTGGTTCAAATGATCTACGTACTGATCGCCTAGTGATTTGCGAAAACAAGATAGAAAGGCTTTGCTGACGACCTTCGATCGAAGTCATCGATTTTCAGTGCCAAAAATATTAGATGATATGACAGCGATCAGCATGTGACATAGATTCTTCAGCACATCTCAGACTCGATAGACGTCAATTGCCGTTGGAATCCTTTTAAACAGAATTCCCATTCATCTATCCATCCAAATCAACTTAGCACCAGGTATTACTGTGTAGCGATCTGAGTTACCACACCTCATATCAGTACATCAAATAAAAATGCACTGAAGCGGAAGATGAAGAAAAGAAAACTCAGTCAAAAGAAATATGGAGTACGAGAATAAAGAAAGGAAGAATAACAAAATGGTGAGATTTGGTATAGCGTCGTTAAGATGAAGATAATGTGTGTATATATCTGCACCACTAACATCGATGCCGAGCCATATCACCTAGAGTCTCCAACCAGTTAACGATAGTTTTTCAGTGAAGTGCATTTCTTTTCAATACTGTGTCATAAAATTTCGATCCAGAAGTATTTTAACCAGTTATATGACAGATAAGATTTGTGACACGGAGATATTAGCATAATCTGATATGATATACTACTCGGTTTTATCAGTAGTGCGGAAGTATCAACAATATCCGCTACCAAATTAGCTCACTGGAATAAGAGTGGAAAAATTGTTCTTACCGATGGGAAACCTTTTCCAACAGAATTCGAACAGAAATGAGCCCAGTTCTCATGTCTTTCCGCAGCAATCAGTATTGCGATTCAAATAATTTCACTTACTACGAATGATTTGGGATCACTCATTATTTCACTTTGCTCGTCTAGTGGTGTCCGTCAAGGATGTCCAGTATCTCCATTCTTATTCAGTTTCATAATAGATATTCTTACGGAGGTCTCCCTCTCGTCACCTAACTATACAGAGGTTGACTTAATCGCGACAGAATTTTCATTAGACCTAGAATACACAGATGACATAGTCCTATTAGGTAAAGACACTGACAAGATGCAGAGTCTTCTGAACACTTTCAGTGACAATTTGAGAATGTTCGGGATGCTTTTCTCACCACCCAAATGCAAATCGTTGCTCCAGGATTGGTCTTAAACGGTGTCTCGGCTAACAATAGAGAGTGTGTTGACCACTTCACTTACCTGCCAAGTAGAATCAGCCCTGGTGACTCAGTGGCCGATGAAATCTCTGCACGGACACAAAAGGCTTGATTGGCTTTTGCCAACTTACCCCATCTGTGGCGCCGCCGTGATATTTGATTATCTATTAAGGGTTGAGTGTACTGCACAACAGTCGGCCCTGTTCTACTGTATGGCTATGAAACATGGCCATTGAAGGTGTTAGACATGAGAAGGCTTCAGGTGTTTGACCACCATTCCCTTCGTATTATCGGCCATATTCCCTACGTGAGTAATACAGACGTAGAGTTTTAGACAGGAGAGGTAAGTCAGTTGATGTGGTTGTGAACCTTCATCGACTGAGATAGCTGACTGGGACATGTGTTAAGCATGCCTAGTCACCGTCTGCCTAGTCACACAATGTTGGCAGAAGTAGGTCCAGGCTGAGAAAAGGCCAGACTAAAACATGGCACGAATGCATGAAGTCTCTGACTGTTGGTTTAAGCCATGTAGGACGATGCAGACTAGGTGGTTGGGGTCGGTGGGACAAGAGGAACCAGTGGTTGGAGACTGACTCTAGGTGATATGGCTCGGCATCGATGTCAGTGGTGCAGATATATACACACATTATCTTGATCTTAATGAAGTTATACCGAATCTCACCATTTTGTCATTCTTCCTTTCTTTCTTCTCGTACTTCATATTTCTTTTGACTGGGTTTTTTTTTCTTCATCTTCTGCTTCAGTGCATTTTTATTTGATGTACTGATAAGAGGTGTGGCAACTCAGATCGCTACGCGGTAACGCCTGGTCCTATATTGCTATTGATTGATTGATTAGCTGTAAGGGTCTTTTATATTATAAAGTTTTTTCAATTTACTTATCTCATTCTCATCTACCTTCATGATTCTGCAAAGAACAATCAGAAAAGGATAAATGAAGTCTCTAATATTTACAGCTCCGTTATTGGGTCACCCAGGCTCAGTCTCAGCTAAGCTAAGCCATGAGTGTTAGCCTAGAGGGACAGGTTGCAAGGAGGTGAATCTGGTAAATTTCTTTGAATTCAATCACAGATGGCTGGTTAATGCATCATAATCTTCATCCTGAAATGTTGATTCATATCTGACTTACATGACTTTTGATCTCACTGAATAAATTCATAACCTTTCCTTCATTGTTTAGACATTTGAGATGTTGTCGTTCGGTTGAACGCTATCGTCTTTATTCAGATCGAGGAGTTTGACATGATAAGGAGAATAGCATAAACCATCTACCTGGTCACTGATGAATTTAGGAGATGTCAAATTCTATATTGATCTTGGTGACTAGCAGAGAAATCCAGGACACGCATTTCTTCCTATTTGGGACTCGTCAGCTGGGTGTCAGATCCACTTTCTGCTGAACTAGCTTTGAAAAAACACCGAAACTGACATCAATAGGCCTATCTGTCTCAGAAAATTAAAACTTGTACCGTCCACAGACTTCTTTGATGAGGCACGAGTACTCAGATTTCCACGTGATGGGATTAGTGATAATTCGTATAAAAACGGCCTATTCACAAGCTTGAAGAAATCTTTACTTATTTCGAGGTAGCATTCATCACGGACTGATATCAATTGGAGAACCATTGATAACTCGAGAGCACTGGACTGTGGAGTCAACCACTCGGGAGGGAAGCGGATGCCAACTGAAAACTTTGAGTGATAGTCGCACCATATTGTGAATTGATAGGAGTTGGTAGCTGTGAACCAGCGAACTCCGACCCTATGGGTAAGTGGTTAACGCGTCCTCCTCCTGACTTCTATCCCTAGCCGGGTCTTGGAGGTGTAACCCTGAGGCGTCGCATATTAAGACGAGACAGCTGTTGTCCAGTGCGTCCAGATTTTCAATGGTTCTTCCTACTGATGTCAGTCTATGATGAATACCCCCTCAGAATCTTTATTTACTTCCTTGAATAGCAAAACATGAAGAAATCCTGTCCGCTTCAGTAACAGCTACTCACTCATCATTTCTTCATTCATCATGAAAATATTTCATTCGAATGAATTACTCAGTTGACGTTCACTACAGTTCACTTGTAAATGTAGTAGTTTCCTCTGATTTTATTCTATGTAGAAGACAGGGAAGAGAGAAATTCACCGTCTACCAGTCAGTTTAGAAATCAACACATGATCTTGTTCTGATTCCATAATATGTCCGCAATTACTTCCTAAAAGCAAAGCCTCTTGAGGATAAAAGTAACTAATTTGATAATACTACATAAAAACAGTCTACTATGCCCATATTTAATATAAACGAAACTGTCGAAGACAGTGATGACTCACCACATTGTTTTGACCTTGCCTATAACACGAGTCACTTCCTGATTGGTTAATTTGTGGACGATTCATTCTTCCGCTTTCCTTTACCATCTGTTTGTTGTTTTAACCCTGACCTAAACTTGAACAATGGATGCAGAAGGGGATTTTTAGTGAATTTTGCATGTTTTTGTTTCTTTATAAATTAATCATAGAATTTCCTCAACTTAAACAACTTCTCCCAAGCTTTCATTTATGTTGTCACTAGGGTAAATACGTTTTAGTAATTCAACGGGAGAAACAAAGGAAATAGTCTCTTTCACCCATCTAGGCAAGGCAGCATCGTTTCAACTACAGGCGGCGGTGGCACAGACGAGGACGTCAAAGCATCCAGGATAGGAAAAGCAAGACAGGCGTTCATTAACCTGAAACCAGTGTGGAGATCTACTGCACTCAGCATAAAGCATCAACAACATCCGGATTTTCAACATCAATGTCAGTCAAGTCAGTGCTTCTATGTGATGGTTGAGAGACTTGGCGTGTTACGAAAAGCATTCCCAACAAACTACAGACATACATGACATGAAGAGCTGCTGCCTACGCTTACTCGATACTGACACTGAAGATCAGATGGATGGATGGCTGGAATAATAAGAATAAGCAACAAGGAAGTCTGGCTGGCTGGCGACAAACCATCCAAGAACTTATCGCTGAACAAATATGCAGAAGGAAGTAGAGATGGACTGGGCATGCATTGAGAAGACCATTCAGGGACATCACTCGTCAGGCCAGGCACTCGAGTGGAACCCAGATGGGAAACGACGAGTTGGGGGTAGGTGCCGAGAGTGACATGGAGGAGATGGTGTGAGGAAGAAATGAGAGGTTGTGGGCAGTCGTGGTGCCAGGTTGAAAAGACTGCAGAGAACATAGTGGGATGGAGACATGTTCCACTAGGAACCCAAAGGACAAATAATAATAGTAATAGGCTGGTCAGCCTGGTGGTTTATTGCATATTCAGAATGTTAATGATCACGTCACCTAAAGTGGTACACTTGTAACTCCTATGGATCACTTTTACAGCTAAACTTAGTTATTAGATTATATTATTCTCTTGTTCTTCATTCATCCAGATAATAGAAACGAGTAAGTAGACTGTTATCGTGAAAGTTCCTGACACCGTCCTTCATGTGTGCCTCCCCAGCTTTTCCGAATCCTATCGTTTATAATTACTAACCACCTGTGAAACCGCCACCAACAGTGGAGACTTCATCGAGTGATGCCATATATTAGTATGTTTGGATTTAATCTTTTCCAGTCTGAACCCACTTCAGTTAACATTTTGTGATAGTGAGGATAGAGACTAATCGCGATTGTTGCATGTTCCAGAAGTAAAAGTCGATCATAGCCTAAGACTTCTACGCTAGCCAGCCTACTAAAGTACGGCATATTTGGTGGCTATGTTTCACAGCCATATAGCAGGACGCAACAAACTGCTAACAGTACACCTTCATAGGTCACTGATCCATCAGGGCTGATCTAACTTCTCGCATACTCTTAACTGAGCATAGGATTAGGAGGTGATGAAATGAAGGGGGGGGAAGAAACAATAGCAAGTTAAGGCTTGGTGAGTAGACCAGTCATCCTAACTATACTCTCCACTTATCGAAGTGAATACTGTGAGAATCAATAGCTGTGTGCAGCAAAACAGCATGTTGGTCTACTCATCCAGTAGTAGAGATCGAATGTTCTACCGACAAATTCCTAGACTCTCCTTATTAGTGTAAGTTAATCAACATCAGAATATTGTTAGTGTTATTTGATTCAATTAGGTCGACATTGAAAATCGGATGATGTGACTGAAATTGTTTACTGACTTGGGAGCAGTGAAGCCAACTCGGGTCACTTAGCATGTATGAATTTATTCGAAGTTCCAGATAGACACTACTGGTGAATGCTGAGAAATACGAAACCCAATTGGAACAAGAAATACTAACTCACTTAACTTCGAAGCTGCAGTATAATAAAGTTGGTCGGTAGAATTGATTCTAGTGATGAGATTTCAAAACATTTTCGCTTCCTAGGTTTGATGTTGTAACTTGTGATACTTGTCGTTGTTTAGACTGAACTGATTAACCACTGCTAGATATGGTGACTGAGTGGTTCCGGGTTCAAGTCTGAGTGGGAACAACATTACCTACTCAGAGGAAAGTACACTCAGCTGACGAGTCCCAAATAGGTCGAAACGCATGTCCTGGATTCCGATGCTAGCCGCTAGCTATCCTATTTTAGTGTATGCTAATGATAAGGTAATTTGAGTACCATAAAAAGCAGCATCTTCAGTAAGAGTTACAAGGACGGATGATCAACTGGCGAACGTTCTGAACAAAGAAATATGAGAAGGGGAAACAAGGCAAGGGAGGAAAAAGCAGCCATAATCATCTTTCTCAAAAAAGGCATTCATTATACTGTTGTAGTACATTAGAAATAGAGAACGTTATTATTTCATTATAATCTAGTCATTGTTCTCTAGTGGATCTAAAGGCCGCCCCAAGGATCACAGAAATAGCCAATCAGATTTCGTTACTGGATGAAGATATCATGGCAATCAGCAAGAACTGACATCAGTTGGAGAACCATTCAATACCGGGAAGCAGTGAGGAGTATCTGTTTTGCCCTAGTAAAGGGCTTCTCAACAGTGTTCACCCACGGTCTTACCAGGGCTCGAACCCGGAACATTAGGGTTTCGTGGCGAGCACACCACCACCAAAGGTCTCAGCTTCGAATCCTGGCGGAGTCATTGGTATGGACTGCTGAGAAACTGGATACTTGGATGAAACATCCATCCATTCCACCCAGGTTTTGATTGATTCTTCATGAAGAAACAGCCTTCGTGGCAGATATAAAGAATTGTAATTAGTTATTTTTGTTGTTGGTTGGGTGATTTTTAGAGACACTCGTCAATAGCTGATTTTGAAATGGGTGATCAAGTTGGTTCATTCCAAAAGCTGTTGGAAATCCCCATTAATATTTCCAGTCGTCTAGTGGGCTTATAATGGTAAAAGTGATTTGATAAAGCAAAAGTCAAATGTCTGATTTTACCCAAGGCTGTCTATGCCCTTTACATAGTCATCGTGACTGATGTCAAAAAGGTTACTTTTCTATCAACCCGCCCTCTGGTTAGGATCAGTGAACCAATAATGAAAAACTGACCTCCGTTTGATTGATTCCTCTGAGTGTGTTCGGGGGTGGGTGGGGTGGGGTGGGGTAGGGTGGGAGGAGAGGTGAGGTGAGGTGAGAAGGGACACTATAGGTCATACAGCTAAAAATCTACCCTGACATGTCAGTTACAATGATCTGTTGAGAACAGGAAGCATGGCAGATATAGGAGGAGAGTGGACAAGAAGCCCTGCACAACCTAGCCACCATAGTCGCTGACATTCATAAGCGGGATGTATTCGAAATAGTGGGGCAATTTAAACCTAGGTCAGCGACCTTACCACTGACTGAACTTCCTACAGGAAGTGTAACACTCTTTTAGCATAAAAGATGATGTAAAGACAACGTTCTGATAGATCGTATATTTTCAGTTCGCATAGCGTCATAATCAGTGTCATATTGTTTAGTCATCGGTACTGACTACTCTCTGTCTGCTCAGTTCTTAGTGCTGTGGCTAATAACCTTAAACTACTGGCATGATGCCACTATGTGTATGGAACTTTCATCGCGTCTCGCATGTATACTGTAGATAAGTGGTGTTAAACACAGGTTTCCGGAACGTTTGTCAATCTATCTATTGCATCGATCTGAAACTGGCGTCAAACAGAAATTCAGATAATAACTCCATCTACTATCCAAACTATGTTCCTTAGGTTAGTGGTGGATAGTGGCTAGCAGTGGAATCCTGAAGGAGTGTTTCGTTCCATTTAGGACTTATCAGGTTGGTGTATCTGCCTGCGGCTCACAGGTCCTAAATAGGATGAAACGTACGTCTTGGATTTCCCCGTTAGTCACTATCCATCATTAAAATATAATTCAAACACAGGCAAAATGGAGTCATCCACACAGAAGCCTAAATGCCAACAGAGACCAATCATTTCGGTCCACTTAACGACTGGATAATGCAGACAACAATATATTCCTTAGGGCATGAATTTCCGTCGATCCTCTTTGGAACAGATAAGAATGTAGGGTAGCAGCTATTGTGTCCCTAATTCTTGACCACAATCAACTTATTTGCACATTACATTGATGGGCCAGTGGAGAGTGACCAATCTCATGTAGAGAGGCAGTGACTGACTTGACTGACATTCGTGTTGGAAATCGCGATCTTGTTCAGGCTTTATGCTGAGTGCAGTGAAATGCCGTGAAGTAGATCTCCACGCTGACTATTTCAGATTAATGAAGGTCTGTCTTCGTGTCTTTCCGATCCTGGCTTTGACGTCCTCATCTGTGCCGCCGCTGCCGCCACCTGTAGTTGAAACAATCCTGCCCTGCCTAGGTAGGTAGGTAGGTAGGTAAGTTGGTAGGTGAAATAGACAACTTCGTTTAGATTTCTCCCGTTGATGGTGATTGGTGCTTGTTGTTGTCATTGTTGTTGTTGGTGGTTGGGTATCTTCATCACCTCCATCTTCTCTACGTTCACTTGAAGGAAGTCCCATCTTCCTTCGCCGCCTTGCCTCGCCTCATCTGCCAACTTGTTAGTTTTCGCCTGTAGATCTTCGAGTCTGTGTGGTATTAGACACTAAACAGAATTTATCATGGGTGAAATCCAAATCTTGACATAGGATCTTTTCATCTGTCGAGTCAGCGTATGCACCTATTCCCGCTCCTCACAGTTTCTTGCATGATCCAGTGCAGTTCAGTCCAGTCGACCACAATGAGGAAGATGATTGGTGATGATAGTAGGCGGTAACTTTGTCTTACTCCTGCCTCCTGTCTTCACTTCAAAGGCATCACTGAGATATCCATTGTGAACCACTAAACATGTAGCATCCTCATATAGCATTTAACTGTTTAATGAGGTTGGTGAAGG